GCTGCTGCTCCGACAGTATGCACCCAGGGGCCACGTCCGCACGGGCACAGGGGAGGGACCCTGCCGAATTGTGTCCCCGGGGCTGGGGGAGGCCGTGGAGGGGCGCCCCCCGCGACTCACCGAGAGGATGCGGTCTCCCCTCCGCAGCTCTCCGCTGAGGTCGGCAGGGCCTCCGGCCCGGGTGAAGGAGACGAAGATCCCCTCACCATCTTCCCCTCCAACGATGTTGAAGCCTAGGCCGGTGGAGCCTTTGTGCAGGATGATTTTCCGGGGCTCCCTGGAAGGACAGATACAGGACAGGTAGACATCGAAGTGAGAAGCAGCGAAGCTGGTGACAGGGTTGGCCATGCCTGGGCTTTCTGGCACACTGATGGGGCTGGAGTCACCCCCAGTGCGACCTCAGCCCTTGGCGCTGGGGAGACTGATAAACCGGGTGAGATGTGGGCAGTTGCATGAGTGATGTGAGACAGAGCACGGACGGAGACAGAGCATCTGCTGTGAAATCACGCACAGAAACACTGGGCTGCAAGGCGCCATCGGATGCTGCGAGCCTGGGCATCAAGGACAGCACTGATGGCAGGGGGGGTCAAGCCTCTGCATCCACGCAGCACAGCAAGCACGCCTACAGCCCCATGTACCCCCTGCCACAGGCCCTGCGCAGCTCAACAGAAGTCCTAAATTTGTTGATGATGACTTAATTATTTTGCAGCTCAAACAATAGGCAGGCAAAGGCGGAAAGACTGCCTGGCATTGCAAAAATCCTGCGTCGATTTTCGTCTGGGGAAAAAAAAATCACCAAGTCTGATGGAAACAATAGCAGCTCCCAGCTCAAGCACTGGATTAAAATAAGAAGGAATAAATGACGCCAGACGATTAGCACAGGTTGGCGGTGATTGTCAGCCAACACAATGCCAGGGATCATCGGTGCATCTGTGGTGGTGACCGGCTGGATCTTGGTCATTCTGGTGGGTACTGCAAGGACCAAGGACTTGCCAGTGAGCTCAGGAGCCTGATGAACCCTGCTGGGGAGCAGAGGGAGATCTCTGGGATGCAGGAGAGATGCTGGAGCCTCTGGCACGGCAATGGCTGAGGACACGCGTGGTGGATCCCAAAATGCAAGCAGACTTGTGCTAAAGGGACCTTGGGGCACCTAGGGGGCTGGTCCAGCCAGGTCCCCAGCTGGTGGTGACAGCCAGGGAAGGGACGGGGCTCAGGCGGCATGAGCGGAGCAGGAACACAGGGGAATAAAGTTTGGCTGAACAGGCAGCACAAAGCCCTGCAGCTTGGCTGCCGGCTCCCAGGCTGCTCTTGCAAGAAAACATCATTTTCAGCCCCCTGGGCCAGGCTGGAGCATCACTGCCATCACCTGGGCAGATGGAAGAAGGCTCTGGTGCTCTCATGGATGAAGGCAGCAGGATTTACCTCCAGGGATGTGTACCAGCACCCCAGGAAAAGTGTCCCACCATCCCTTCCCGTGGGGGCATTCTGATGGGCTGAATGTCACTTGGCTCCAGGCAACCACCTTATAAGGAGCAGTAGGAACAGCAGACGGACATAGAGAAGTGCAGGAAGCCTTGCAAGAAGGTCTTGGTGGGCTCTTGCCCTGCCCAAATCCTGGGCTCAGCACAGCCTGATCCTCCCAGCCGCTCCTCTCCCTGTCCTTGCGCCTCCCACCAGGCACAGCAGCACCCCAGTCTCCTACCTCTGGTCACACTTGCTTCCATGGCCCCGTCGCTGCCTGGAAGGGGACAGGGACGGCTGTCTCCTGTAGGACATGGACGACGAGACGTTGACGGTGAACATTGTGGCATGGCAGACTCTGCTGGTGGCGCTGGCCAGGAGGCGCGAGGTGCAGGAATGTTCTGAATGCTCCGCAGCAGTCCCGTGCTGCAGCCTGTGCCTCTTGCTGGCTGCGGGGCCACGGTTTTCCCTACCCACACCAGGGTTTTTTATGGAAGTGCTGAAAGGACGCACCCTTCACTCTGATACACCCTACAGACTTAACTCCTTCCTGCCCCTGCAGGCATGGACAGCACAGCCTCGACCAAGGGGGGTAACATCCAAGCGAGGGCAAATTCACAGCCTGGCTCCCTGTGCCTCCAGCTCCACGTACTCCATGCATTGCCGCAGCCCCTTGCGTTCCAACACAGAGGTGTGGCAGAGCTGCAACTCCAGCTGTGCCTTTCTGACAGGGCAGAGGCTGAATCTACCTCGTGACCTCCAGAAAATACCTGCTTTATCCTGATGGCTTTGAGATGCATTCGAACTTTGAGCTAAGCTGGGACTCAGGACTCAGCTGGACTGCAGCATGGGGCTGCGATGCACCAGGATGTGATGACATGGGCTCTCCACTTCCATCTTCATCCCAGGAGGCAGGACATGGCTCCTGCAGGCCAATCCCACGCTGGACATTGCAGTGTTAATGCTGGGACCTCAGCACAGCATGACTATGGGGACCCTGTGGGGCTGTGCCAGGTCTGGGTTGCAGTGGTGGAAAACACATGCTCTGGTCCCTGGCCCCAGGTGCTGCAAGACACAAAGATCACTGGAGCCACATCCATGTCTGCAGCAGCACTTGTGCCTATGGCAGGGGAAGAGGCTCATTAGCAGATCCAGGCCAGGACCTCTGCTTCCTCTGAGGAATGGCTGGCAGGGGCTTCCTGGGAGAGAGCTGCTTTGTCAGGAGAGCCGCTGCCTTTACCCACACCAGTAGGAGGCATTTGGATTGCACTGATCCCAGTGCACAATGTTGGTGATGCACAAGCCAATAGAGCCGTGGCGATGGAGCTGTCCTGGAGGGGTGGCGATGGACGAGGAAGGTGCTGAGCCTACTGCGGGCTGTGGATCTGGCAGGAGCTGTGGCTGGGGATAGTGGCCGAGCAGTGCCAGCCTGTCTGCAGCGAGGCCCTCCACAAGGCAGCACCATCCTCTAGTGGCCACCAGCACGTGCTGCACTCGGGCCACGGCCAAGCCACCACTGAGCCACCGCAGGGCCATCGCCACTGGGCCTCGTCCAGCCTGGGCTGGGCTGCTCTCTCTGCCCTCTGGCCTGCAAACAAGGACATCGGTGCAGGTAGGAGAGACAGATGGTGCGTTCTTCTGAGCACTGGGACTCAGTCCCTTCTGTGATGCAATGTAATGGCAGAAAGCACGGCTTCTGCATGTGGCATCGTTTCCCAGTGCCTTGACAGTGCAGGAGTTGTGCACCCAGTGAGGACACAGCACTGGGAACAGCCTGTGGAACCGGCATCACTGGTGCTGAGACCAGATAGGAGAGATGGGGTGCGGGCAGAGGCCAGTGCCACACAGGTCACAGTGCACCGAGGCACCTGGCCACGGCCAAGCACCACGATGCAAGAAATCCCCATGCTGAAGGCAAGTGCAGCCACTCCCCAGCAGGACAGCAGACCTGACGCCGGATGGCAAGCCGCACTCTCCCACTCTGGCATCCACCAGTGCCTCACAGAATCGAAGAATCCCATCCAACGTTACAGCATCTTCCACTGCAAACACAACCCTGAAACCAGCCTGTGACCTTGCTCCTAACCGCAGCGCCAGCCCTAAGCCTAACCTGAGTGCTGGTCCTGAGAATAAAGCCTGAGCCCTACTGCCCTGGCCCTGGGGATACCAAATCTGGTGCAGGCTCAGCACCAAACCTGCGGCTGTAGCAAGCTGAGGGAAAGCTGTGAGTCTGGGCAAGCAGAGCAGGACCAGCCAAGTCTCACTCTCTTAGCATGAGGCTTTGGAGCTTTACACCACATTTAGGTTCAGAGCAATGTCTCCTTTGTGCTCCTCTTTTATTTCCCGGGTTCAGGAAACAAACCTGCTCCTGCAGTGTAAATGAGGCTGCTGAGGAAATGAAGTCCATGCCAGGGCTGGGTAGGAGGCTGCCAAGCCCAGGGCTGGCAGACGACGAAATGGCACCCAGATGCGGGTGGTTTGGGATGCTGGGCTTGGGGAGCGTGGGAGAAGGAGCCCTACTTGTACCCAGAGCTATGCCCCCCCAGCCCCTCACCCTCAGCACAGCTCTGCTCAGGGACAGCCAGCTATCCGGCACCAGAAAGCACCATGAGGGCAGGGACCATCCCATATTCCAGATATTGTAAAGCAAATAAGAGAACAAAGCTGAACATGTAAGACTTGTGGAGGAGCAGGAGGAAGAACAGGGAAGGGAGGGATGCAGCGAGGCAGGAAGCGACTGGTCTTAGGGTAGGGGGTGGGAGTGAGCCCTGTGGGAGCCCTGAGTTTTGCACCACGCACCTACAAATGGGCTTTCGGCTGAGGTTATCCGGCACCAGAAAGCACCATGAGGGCAGGGACCATCCCATATTCCAGATATTGTAAAGCAAATAAGAGAACAAAGCTGAACATGTAAGACTTGTGGAGGAGCAGGAGGAAGAACAGGGAAGGGAGGGATGCAGCGAGGCAGGAAGGGACCGGTCTTGGGGTGGGGGGTGGGGGTGAGCCCTGTGGGAGCCCTGGGAGCCCACGCACCCACAAATGGGCTTTCAGCTGAGGTTCTGCACTGACAGTGGGGATGAGGTCAAGCAGCCAGGGAGGTAACGAGAGGGAAGGAGAAGGAGCAGGAATTAGGGATGCTCATGCTTGGTACTTACCTGGTGAAGTCCTCGTCCCCAATCATGTGCCGAGGGATGGGCGAATACCGCGATGGAGTCACCTGGGGAGGGACGGTGTAGGCGGGCTTGCTCTCAACACTGCCCAGGTAGCCCAGACTGGAGTTATGGCTTATGTGGTTGTCAGCCAAGGCTGAGAAGGCTGCAGGGGAGGAGAAAGGTATCAGGAGCAGAAATCCATTCACAACATGGACGTGGAAACCAGCCCGGCATTGCCCACCGTCCCAGCGTGCTCTGTCCCCCCAAGCCCTGTGGTGCCCAGGCTGCCGCGCCAGCGGTGTACGTACTGCTGGCGTAGTCGGGGGGCGCGTACATGTCGTTGAGGTGAATGTTGCCGGGCTTGGCCACCTTCAGGTACACCATGTCGGAGGTGTTCTTCAGGGCGGCCACCGCCTCCTCATGCCGCACGTCCTGCAGGTTCGTGTTATTCACCTACCAGAGGGAAGGGGCTGGGTGACGCAGCTGCAAGCAGGAGGGAAGGGGCCAATGCAGCCCTGCACAGAGCTTTCCCGCAGGGTAGGTGCCACAGTAGCTCTGCAGACAGGGTCTCACCTCCCTCCCGCCTGCAGCCAGTGCTGCAGCTGCCCCTCCTGTAGCACCATCCCCGTGGGGACCCCAAGGAAGGGCTGCTGGTGGGAGGGGAGTTCAGGACTGGCACCACAGCATGGTGGAGATCACCTGGCTTTGCCTCCTGGCCAGCTGAGGGCATGGGGCTTACCGCAAGCAGCCGGTCTCCGATCTGCAGGCGCCCGTCCTTCTGGGCAGCGCCTCCCTCGATGATCTTGGTGATGTAGATGCTGTTGTCCCCAGGGATGTGCTGGTTCCCGATGCCCCCTGCGATGCTGAATCCCAGGCCTGAGGATGAGTGAGAGGGCAGGTGAGGGGTGAGGGATGGACGGATGGATGGAACCCTGGGCTGGCAGCACAGCCCCTCTGTCTCACTGGCCTTCACACCCTGCCCCAAACCTGGCAGGGAATGGGCCACCCTGCTGCTCCACAGTCACAGCCCAGGGCTGTTCCACACCTCACAGCATCCCATGCTGCTGGGCCACCCTGTGGCACCCTGCACAGCAGCAGTGCCACCTCTCATCCCACATCCCCCGTGATGCTGCCTCGCACCCTGTGGCATTTCACACCAGGGGGTCAGCCCACACTATCCTATGGGCCAGCGCAGCACCCCAGTCCTGCGAGCAGAGTGAGGGGCTCACCTTTGGGGCCCTTCATGAGGTTGACCTCCATGATGGTCTCTGGGGGGGGCTGCCGGCGACGCACCACGAGCCGCACCACAGGGCCTGCTTCCTTCAGGGCCTCCACGGCTTTGCTGTGCACCACCTCGGAGACGTCGACGTCGTTCACCCGCAGCACACAGTCGTTCACCCTGCGGGCACAGGGCGGCCTTGAGCTCCCTTGGGGAACTGCCAACCTAGGCCACCCTCCTCTGCCACCCTCCCCTGGCCACGCACACCCTGGTGAGGAGAGCTGCTCAGGCTGGCCAGATCCTGCCGTGCTGGGGTGAGCATGGGGTCAATGGAGCTGGTCCCAACAGTGAAACCCTGGGGTAGATGGGAGAAGAGGGGAAAGGCTGGATCCTGCCCCAAGCCACAGGGGAAAGGATGAGAGCCGGAGCCTGGTGCAGGGAGGGGAGGAGGGGTGGTTGCAGATGGCAGAGGACCGCAGGCATCTGCCTTTTGCACATCTGTAATTCTGTAGTTCATATTAATCAGACTGAGTAATCTCTGTCAGATCACAGAATCACAGAATCTCAGGAGGTGGAAGGGACCTTGAAAGCTCATCCAGTCCAACCCCTGCCAGAGCAGGATCACCAGACCAGGTCACACAGGAAGGCGTCCAGGCGGGTTTTGAATGTCTGCAGAGAAGGAGACTCCACAACCTCTCTGGGCAGCCTGGGCCAGGGCTCTGTCACCCTCACAGTGAAAAAGTTTTTCCTTATGTTCAGATTGAACCTCCTATGCTCCAGCTTGGGACCATTGCCCCGTGTCCTGTCATTGGACATCACAGAGCAGAGCCTGGCTCCTTCCTCCTGACACTCGTCCTTTACAAATTTATAAACATTGATGAGGTCACCCCTCAGTCTCCTCTGCTCCAAGCTAAAGAGCCCCAGCTCCCTCAGCCGCTCCTCATAAGGGAGATGCTCCACTCCCTCCATCATCTTTGTGGCTCTGCGCTGGACTCTTTCAAGCAGTTCCTGTCCTTCTTGAACTGAGGGGCCCAGAACTGAACACAATATTCCAGATGCAGTCTTCACAAGAGCAGAGTAGAGGGGAAAGCAGGGGGCATCCCTGCACTGAGGGGACCTGGCTGTGGGGAAGAGACCAGGGAGTGGCAGAGAAACACATCATGGCAGGGGAGGAGGGGGGCAGGAACTGCCTGGAGGTCCCTGGGGAGATCCCGGGTGATACTCAGGGCCTTTTCCCCTGGCCCTGTACACTCACCCCAGACGGCCGTCCATGGCTGCTGCTCCCCCAGGGATGATTTTGGTGATGAAGATGCCTGGGTCATCTGGAATGTGGGGGTTGTCGATTCCTCCTGCTATGCTGAAGCCGAGGCCGGAGTTACCCTGCAGGAAATCAAACACTGCGTCTTTCCACCATGGGCAACCGCTTGCTGCCAGCCTCCTGAAGCAGCTTTCCCTCAGCCACGGCTGCCTGGCGCGTGGGAGCTCTTACAGCATCTGTCATCCCCCAGGGTGCCCGGCTCAGGGGGCAGAGGGATGCGTGGCCGGAGTGGAGACCAGCGCTCATCAGCCACGGTGCTCGGTGCAGCAGCGTGAAGCACCGAACAGATGGAACGGGAGAGTGGGAGTCGTCGAGGACCTCCCTCGCCGCCGTGTCTCCACTGAGAGACTCAGGCAGGCAGCGAGCTGCGGGAAGAAGGGGTGGTCCTTGGTGGAAAAAGCCTCCCCTTGCTGGCTGCTCCCCAGGAGAAGACATCAATGCTGCAGCCCACTTGGAGCAGCAGGGCTTGTGCCAGTCACCAGCATCCTGCTCCTGCCCCTTGCCCCCTGGGATGCAGCCCCAGCACAGAGCCAACCTGGGGACCAGCAGTGCCGATGCCAAAATCTGCAGGGTTGGGTGGAGGGGGCTGCCAGGACAGAGCAGGGTCTCCAGTTTTGCCTCCTCTTCCTCCTCACCTTGCTTGAAGCATCACTTGAGCTTCATCCTGAAGTCTGCCTCGGGGGAATGCAGGGCTCACGCTGCATCTCCAGCTCCAGCCTGGCAGCATCCCAGGATGAGTGGCTGTGGCCCTGCACCGCCTCTCCCCCTCACAGGATCCCCATTAGTGACACACTCACAGGCACAGCTTCCAGCTCCGTGCTTGATGCAAGTGGACAACTCCTGCTTTTTCTGCTCTGCCTTAAAAATCAGATGGCTCCTCGCCTTGTTTTCTCATGCGGAAGAGCTGACACTGAGTCACATCCTATTGTGCCCGCCTCTCTCTTACACAAATGGGCCCAGGCCAAGCACTCTCCCAGCTGCCCACAGTGCCAGTGCTCAGCATTCGGTGATGGGGAGCTCTGCCCTTCTGGGGGACTTGCAGCCGGGGGGTGGCGCACAGCAGAGCTCAGCCTCCCCAGGATCATCAAGCACCAGCAGCTGGCTGGGGCTCGAGCTTCTCCTGAGCAATTTGGGCTCAGCATCAGGTCTTGTGGCGATGGAGAGGTCTCTGCTCTGACTTTGTGTCACTCCTGACACAGCACATGGTATCTCTGGGAGCCACCAATGCCTCTCACTACTCAGCGCTCTCAGATGCTCTCCTGGTGACGGGGATTTGGTCGGCACGTGATGAGGAGGCATTCAAAGGTGAAAACTCTGAGGCCGTTCTCCTTCCCCTAGGCTGGATTCTAAATACCTCACGCTCAGCTCAAAAAAGCTGCTTACTGTCAGCAGAGACCCAGCCTGGCCCCAGCAAGGCAGGTGAGACTGTGCAAAGTGGTCTCCAGCCATTCCTTGTGCCTGTTTAAGGAAGGGTGCACTCCAACGCTAGCCACAAAACCTGGAAACAATCCAGGAGGCGTTTATTTTTATTTTGATAAAACTTCAAATGGAGTTCGAGGGATTTCTTCACTGGCATTGAGACTGATTTAGACACAGGGGCAGCTCCCACTGCCGACACACGTACGGAGGGTAAATCCAAAGCCACGTCCCTCTGCAGACAGTGCTTTCTCAGTCATTGCCCTAAAAATGCTGCTGCATTTGCCTTAGCCTTTAGAACAAGGACAAGGGACACATCAGCCATTGGGGCATGCTGAGGTCATCTCTGGTAGCCAAACACCCCAGCAAGGGGACAGCCTCACCTGCAGGCTCCAGGGTCCTTCTCCCACAGTGAGACTGGGCTGTTGGATCCCACTCTGTACCAGGGGAAGGACCTGGCTATGGTCCATGCTGGCCCTGGCTGCCAAGTACTGAAATTCCCTCATGGTTTCTTGCTGCTGGAGAGGCAATCGCTGCCTGGGGCTTTGAAACAGGGGCAGCAGTGAGTGCTGCTCTCTGTGCGACCCTGCCAGCCACCCCCTGCTCCTGTTGTGGGCTGAGGAGAGAGGATGCTCTAAAGAATCCCTGAAAACAAGGCTTTTGCCTCTAAATCGGGCCTGGAGCGAGAAGCACTCAGCCCAAAAAGGAAGCATCCCTTGGGCTGGTTTCGTCAGCCACGCCGGGGAAGCAGTGGGTGAGACGGCAGCCCCAGATAACCTTCCGTCCACCCACCTCCATGATGCAGAGCCAAGGGGAGGAGGGAGATGACTAAAGGCAGAGAGGAACAGGATAACGAGCGATGCGTCTTCCCCTGCGATGCCGGCCACGCGGCGAGGCTGAGCCAGCTGGTGTGGCAGCGAGGAGGCGGCGAGGCGTGCCATGGGGTGCTGCGGGCAGCCCCCAGCCCCGGCCAGCCCTGCTCCGCAGACCCATATCCACCTCTCGGAGCAAATCCTCGGCCAGCTTTTCCCACTCCTTTTCCATCCCTGCCACTGCCTGGGTGCCAGGGGAATGCCCTCCCTGCCCTGAGTGCTGCTGGCTTGCCTCTGGATAAGCCCCATCCACAGGGGCAGCTAATTTTAGCCACGGGTGGATGTGGTGCACGCCATCAGCTCTGCGTTGCCAAAGCTTAAGCAGAAACTCCTCCCGTTGCAGTCCAGTTTACCAGGAAACCTGTCCTTGCTGCTTAACATCCTTGGGCTGCGTACCCCGGAGTGATGGGGAGGCATCGGTCCCCCGCAGCTGGCTGTGGGGTGTGCCTGCCCACGCGCCTGCAGGAACAGAACTCCTGGCACCTCCATTTTTCGGCAAAGGTGGTGACAAAGAGCCTCCTCTCCGCCGGCTCCGCGCTGGAGTTGTGGGGGCGAGGATGTGAATGAGGGAGGCGAGGGAGAAGTCTTCCTCCCTCTCTTCTGGAGGTGTCTGTGGGGTGGGGAGGAGCAGCAAGCCCACCTCTCCTGGCACCGTGGGGGGTGTGCGGGGAAGGCAAGCGTGACACCCCCAAAAGCCTCTGGAGAGAGCAGAGAGCAGAGCCCAATCCCTCCCCATCAGCGAGGGTGAGGGCAAGTGGGAAGGGGCAGAACAAAGTGCCAGCGGGCAAGGAAAGGGCACTTACCCTTTCCAAGACGATCTCCTCGTATTTGAACATCCCATCGCTGCCGTTCACCTGGGAAGATGGAGACAGCGCGTTACGGCTCCGTGCCGGTCCTGCTGGGATTTGCTTTTCCCCTCTGATAGCTCAATATTGAGAATCCAACCTAAAAGCTGCACCATCACCACTGAAAAAAAACCTTAAATTGCTCAAGCCTGCCCTGGAATTAAACTGAGTGCTGCTTTTCTTTCTGGGCAGGAGCCAAAGCCCACTGACTTTAATGCACTTCAGTGGAAAGCCTTTATTCTCCCGGCTCATTTCTCCAGCCATGAAAAGGAACGCAACCGAAGGCACAAAAAGAAATAACGCCTTTGTTACGCAGCAGGTAATTAACCTTGGGAATTCACTGCCGCAGGAAGGAAAGAAAGGGGCTCGGTCCATTTAAAGGAAAAAAAATTATGTCTGTACATAATAACATAATAAACACATTTAGCAGCTTATATCTTCTAAATAATTTAGTAGAATGACTGTGTTAACAGGGAATTCAGAACAATTTACTCTACCAAATTAGTTGGGTGTGAAGGAAACAAGGTGCGAGTGTGGGCCACAGTAAGAGGGGAAAATATTGCGATGCCTTCATATAAAAAAGCGGTGTAGCCTGTCTCAGCACCATACACCACACAGCATCCTGATCCCCACACGTGAAAATCTCCCATACGCAGAACGTCAAAGCAGGGCTCTGGGAAACGCAATGGCTTGAAACAAAAGGGATGCCACTGTAGGCTCTAATATAAAAAACGGTAAATCAGGTTAAAAACTCCCATTTTCCCAAAAATGGTAGAGGCGGCGGGACCCAGGGCTCAGCAGGCAAACGCCTCTCCCGTCGTGCAGCCTTGCCTCTGCCTGCAGCCCCTGGACAAGGCACATGTGGCCTTTACATCCACCATTAACCGAGGGCTGGTAGATTGTATAGAGCCACTTTCTGTACGTGCTCTGTATCTGAAACCGGAGTTGCCATGGCTTTGTTTGGACCCAGGTCCCCTTATCCAGTGCCAGCACACCAGTTGTGTCCTGCTTGCCCAGTTCCCTGTTCACTGCCCCGCAGAGGCCCTGCTCGGCCATCTTCCAAAACCCCACAGTGCCGGGTTCGTAGCCAGTGGGGACAGCAAACATCATTTATACTAAAGGCATCATCTGACACCATGGACAGAAACTCAGTGGCTGTGAGGCCCTATCTATAGGCAGGAAGAGGAAACAGGAGTTTTTCTAGGTGAGAATAATCAGGTGCCCAGGTGGAAGAGCAGTTCTGCATGCCAGGATCTAGGATGGGGCTGTGCCCCCTGACACATGCACCCTCGTCCCCTGCCTGGTTCAGCCTTGTTGAGGCCAAAGCAATCCCACACCCTGCTGTGGGTACGGCGCTTCAGGAAGGACAAGGCTGGGGAGACCGAAGAGTGGAGAGACAGGATGGGGGTCCAGGGAACATGGGCTGAGAGGGTTGTCCCTCCTTGGATGTGCTCCGTGCCTCATGCCTCTCAGCCATGGGAAGATTTCAGGGCATAGTTCAGGGTTGAGACATCCAGATGCTCTGGTATTAGGATGCTCTGATCCTCTTCAGCACATTGGGCAAGGCTTTAGGCAGCTCTTGAACAGGACACCTCTGCAGAAAAGCACTGGGAGCACTGGGATTAACCCTCAGCAGGATCCCTGACAGCCTTGGAGGGACAGGGACGGTGGTCAGTGCCACCTCCTGCCACTGCACCACATTGGGCTGCACTCCCATGGGCAGGAGGGCATCGCTTCCCCAACCACAGGATCTCCCTCTGCCATGGGTTGCCTTCTCCTCCTCACATCCTACCGTACTGCCCAGTCCTGCATGAGGCTGACTCATTGGCCTGTGTCTCGCAGCCTCCCTCACCGCAGCCTCTGGGCTCATCTTGTCTCCACAGTTGGTAGCCCGGCGCGTGGGGCGCAGCGTCGCCTCTTCCTGGCTTTCCAGCAACTCAGATTCCTGGCACCCTCCACTACTACACACATTGTCCTCTCCGCTTTGGCATTTGGTGCCGTTGCCACTCAGCCAGCCATATGCACACCCACGGACACAGAGGAACAGCACAATCATACCTCCAGGATGGGGATGTGCAGAAAACTTTGACAATCTGTGAGCCGTGGAGAGAGCCAGGAGAGTGTGAGCCCCACCAAGCGAGCCGCTGCTGCCAGCAAGCACCCGGGGAGCACAAACCCCGGCACACAACCCCATCAGGCACCCCGCTGCCAGACAGGTGTGTTCAGGGTAACCCTTCTCCCCAAACCTCGGGGCTACCAATGCTGAGCCGTGTCTTGCATTGCTCCCTGGAAGCAAGTGGTGCTGGTGTTCGCCTGGCACGATGTGTGCTGAGAGCAGCCTCTCTGACCGGGCACACCAAGGGCAGTCAGGCCAGACCATGAAGTTTTAGCTCTGATTACGTTTCCAAAATCCACGCAGCAGAACACCAGTTAATTGCATAAGGAAGCCAAATGGAGAACTTAATATATACCATGTAACCAAGGGAACGAGCCAACAAAGCAAACGTTTTAGCATCGGAAAACTGAATACCAGTCACTCACTGACGGCAAAACCTCCCCACGGCACCCACTGGAGCCACCACGACCTGGCTCTGCTGCAGGCTGCTCCCACTCTCTGTCACCAGTGCCCTGTGCTCCTCCCCAGCTCACGTTTGGGGCTGTCTCGTGAGGAGATGCCTGGTTCCATCGCCCCCAGGCAAGGAGAGCGCACCCCATCCTGCTCCAGTCTCCCTTTGTAACGCCTGCAGAGCTGGCGTGGGTGCTGGGGGCTCGTGAGCCGTTCCCAGCGTATCCGGATCCTCAGCACCATCTGATTTCTCATGGAAGAGAGTAAGGGTATTTTTTCCTGATCCCTTCCCACGCAGCAAGCCCACCTGAAGGCTCAGGAAGATGCTCACTTTGCTGGCCTTTGCTTCCCTTTCATGTTTTCAAGCACCAGGGAAATAGTTAGTGATGATGACATTTAAATCAGCAACAGAAGGCTGCAGAGTTAACACTCATTTGATAAACTCAAGAGCACACACCTTCCAGAGCTGCTGCAAGCTGTCTGCAGGCTCTGCTGGACAACACCGCACCAGCGCACATGGAAGGCGCTTTGCAATTTGCTGGAGAGTCGGGAATAGGGGTTTTTTTTATTTTATTTTTGTTGTTGTCAAATAAAAATGGAGGTCAAATTTAGAAGGCTAAGATGGGCTTCCTCAAGCCCAACCCAAATAGCCCACCAGGCTGCAAAAGGAAATAACCTTCAGGAAGGATAATGCTGCCCACAGCCACTTTTAGAGCAGGACCTAGCCCGTATCTGGTGGTTAGGACATGATGGGGACAGGCACCGGGACACGGTGGTGGAGCAGCCCTGTAGCAACATAACGATGAGAGGCTGAAGGCAGGAGGATCACCCAGGGGCAGAGGGTGCCTGGCGATGCCCCGCGTGCGTCTGCCTCAGTGAAGGGAAAGCTCTCCCTTCCTGCACATGGCAGGGGGCCCACAGAAAATAGGTCGAGAGCTTCCTCCCTTCGCCTCCCTGCGTCTGTGTGTCCTGCCCCTGCGCTGAGACCTGCCGACCCACTTCCCACTAACTCCTGACCTCGGCCCCCTTGCACACACTGCCCACGGTGCCGGCCTTGCTCATGGAGGCAATAAATAAACACCATATACGTGGTCAGCCCCTTGCCAGAGCCCCGTGGGGACGAGTCCGCTGAGCTCAGGCAGGGGGATGGGGTCTGAAGCAGGATGTGCCACTACCAGCACTTGGGACCAAAGCATGGGGGTGGCAGTTTAGTTTTGATTCTTTTTCCTGGTTTTTTTGAGGCTTACAAGCAAGTTTTGCCCTGCTCAAAGGCATTGGACTGTGGTGGCCATCTCTGCTGCCCCTAGTCCTGCAGTGACCACATCTGGGGACCCTGGCAGCAGTCAGCACTGTGCAAAAAGGATGCCTCTGCACTGACCAGGGGCAGAGCCTAGGGCTCGTGTGGTGCTCACTGGCCAGGATCAGGCCTGGGAAGCACTTGGCTTCCTTAGATCTGGCTTTTAGAGACAGAGGAGGTGGTGGCTCCTGGCTGCTGAGCAATGGGGCACCAAAGGACCTCCAAGGACCTAGGCTATGAAACCTTCAACTCCTCAACGGCTTTGGAGTGACCTTCCCTGCTCCCTTTGAGACTGCCTGGCAGCAGCTGCCATGCACCCTGGGCAGCAAGAAGTTGTCTCAGCTTCAGAGATGCAGCTCTGAAATGCTGAGTCCCCATTTGCCATGGGAACTGGGCTTCTGATGCTCCATCTCCCCACTACGGACCCGCTGGGCAAAATACACCGAGGAGTGAAACTGTGAGCAATGACCTGGAGCAGGTGATCCTCCCCCAGCACCTGTCCTTACCCTTCAAGGGATGC